GGGCTTTTCAAGTGAAAATTCCGCATGAAATAATTCACCGGTTTTAAGTAAGCCGGCGGAAATGCCGCGTGAAATTTTTCGTCAGCAATCCCTCTTGCCAGTATAAGTTACAGGCAGATTTTACTGTGGAATGGCTACCGGCATATTGCCAGTTGAAGTTCCGTATGAATATCTACTGGTAACTTCTACCCAATTTTCGTCACAGAATTCACAGGTATTTCAATCCCTACTTCTGATGGCCTACTACTATCCGCCGAAAATAACAATTCTTGTAGTGGGCATCAATGAGAAATTAATATTAAGATGAGGAATGTGGTATTATTTATCTTGCATAAATAATTAAGTATATTATGTGAGTAAATACTAAATTTATATGCTAAATATATAAATTAGATACTTTTAAATGTTATATATGAACAATTTCATAACAAAAATACATCATTCAAAATTTAATGCACATTTATAATGTTAAGTGAAATTAATATGCATCTCTTTTTCACTTGTGCTTCATATTTAAAAATGCTTAAAAATTTCATTCATTTTGGCGATTTTCTACAATTGGGCAGATCTCTTCATCATATCCTATATTATGTGGATATCTTCAATTGCAATACTTGTAGCAGTTCTATCTAATTATCCATGTTACAATATATTACCTATGGCTGAAAAATAAATAATAGAATTTTCAGGGATTGATAAGTTATAGCACATATTGGTTGAAAATTTTTGTGCAAGATAAAGTAGCCATGAATGGGCCCAAGCACGCATCCCAACATGATTTGCGAAGAACATTGATGACGTAAATCGAGAAAGAAAAATGATGGCGAATAAATCAAGGAAGGATTTTCATTTAAATTAAATTTTAGAATTTTGATTGAGTGAATCTCAAGTGGTTGTCAAAGCAGGTTGATAGGTCATATTTCGATAAAGCTAGAAATTATCCAACCTCAATCTAGTCTATTGGAATTCAAACTATTTAATAATCCGGTAAAAAAAAATAACCCAAACATATTTAATAACTATGATGAAAATACACATGTCACCTATGATGATATACATGATGATCAATATATGACATATGATGATCTATATATGATGACATAGTAGCATACATGATATTAATTAAGCCTATGATTAGTTTTCATGATGATGTCATGCAAATTGTTTTGATTTCCTTGCATGTGAATAGAGATGCATGTTTTGTGTAATCTATTAAGTTGTCTGCTCATTCTACATGTTTATATATTCCAAGAAAAATGACGGCTCATAGTGGAGTGAGTTAGAAGTTTTGTAATTAGAGGTGCCTTTAATTTATGATATTATTGTCAAATTCTTTTGTATCATGAGATAAGCGTATTAGATGAAAACATTGAAAAAACTCTAATTATTATTTAACTTGTTTTGATATGAATGGATTTGTGATGTGTATATGTTATGGTTGTTATTATATATTTTGTGCATTAATGCTTTAGAGTTCTATTATGAATCAAAAGGTATAAATAAAGAAAATCTCTCTAATAAAAGATCTTAAGTGATATATCCTGCACCTGACCTGATATGACTCATTTTATGTTGGGTTGCATCGTGACACTCCAACCAACATTTCCAACTGCAATTATATGACTATCATTACCAGGCTATGATCTTTTGACCACAACCATCTAGCTACCCTCCAATCACTTTTGTTTGAATATAAACCTCCAACCAACATCTCCTAATCATAGTCTTCCAATCATTATAGTCATACCATAGTCCTCTTATCACCATCACCTAATAACAATCCTCTAATAATCATTGTCCAACTTTGATCATTGGACCGTGATCGCCCAGCTGTGATCCTATAACCACCATCACCTAACAACTACTATCATTTGATTGTCTTCATCCAACTACAATCCTTCAACCACCATTGTCTGACTATGATCATATTACAACAATCACCTTATTATGGTTGCATGAACACCATCACCCTATTATAATCATATAACAACCATCTTCTGACTACAATCCTCTGACCATAATTTTCCTACTACGACTCTGTAAAACCCTTAAAAAGCTTAATTTTTTTTTGAGTGCAGTTCGTCTGTACGAACTGGATTTAGTACGGGACGAACTGAAGAAATTTGTGAAGAAATCTGTCATTTTCGTCTGTACGAACCTGGAGCGTCGAGACGATCCGTCTCGACAAAATTTGTCCAGAGAGCAAGTCGCCCGGGACTAATTTTAATTTCGTTTGTACGAAATTTTGCCCGAGGCAAATCGTCCCAGGACGAATTTTGGATCGTCCGGGACGATCAGTGTTAATAAATATCGGATTCGAGATATTCTGGATCATTTGAAGAGAGAGAAAGAGAAGGCAGGAGAGAGAAAGAGAATGAAGAGAAGGAAAAGCCGGATTTCGGAGGCCGCAGAGCGCTTTTCGTCCGACGACGTAGTTGGAAGATTTGTTTGTCTCGCAGTAAGGACTCCGAATCCTATTTCTGTTTTCAGAGATATTGATTTTTGATCGAGTTGTGCACTGTTTTATATTTTCGTAGTCGAATTTTGGACATGATTTTGTATTGAGACAACTTTCACCGCACAACTTTTAGAATGTTATAGATATGAATATTGTACACGATTTGAGTATTTTCTACGATGATTTTACCGGTCAGAATTGGTTCTACGCGATTTTAATTGAATAAAAAAATATCAGGATGTTATTTGATATGGATTCAGTAGAACAATAGCCTTATATTGATGTTGTGAACGTTCTGTGTGAATTTAGAAATTTGTGCTTTTTGCAGGATTTTTGTGTAAATTTGATAGACTGTCGTTACTCTGCCGAATTTTCGTAGGATTTCTGATTTGTCTGAGATTGATAGATTGAATAGATATGAATGTGAATATTGATATGATTGCTTTAATATTGACTATTGAATTGATTATTGATTGATTATTGATACTGGAACACAAGTGGAACCTGGTTGAACGTTGGTTGGAGATTGAATTGACCTGTACAGGATGGTGGGCCGACGGGCTTTCCTTTAAACATTGATTATGGATATATGGATGGGAGTCATAAGGAGTTCTTATAGATATGCCGACGGGCGGCCGACGGGCAATAGAGTGACGACTCTTTTTATTGAAACCAACGTATGGATATCTACAACAGCAATATGGATTCTACAACAGCAACATAGCCAGTGATTGTACTTGTTCAGTATTATTGTATTGAAATGCATGTTTACTGTATTGACATACGGATTTATTGTTTTATCGCT